CCGCGAAACCGCCCAAGTTCACAGTGGTCATGTAAACACTCCATATCTAACCAGGCGTTTAGATAGCGGGCAACGTGAATGGTTCCTTTGTGCCCTGACTAAGCTTGACTATGAGGAGAAGAAGTTCAGAGTTCACGAACGCTCGTATGTAAAACATGCAGTCTAATTGAAAGGGCATTTAACAATACATTGGATGGGTGGATGGAAAAACTTTATTAAAAAAAAGAAACCCTACAGGGTTACCGGCCCGGGCTCAGGCCACCCCGACGTTTTGTGCGGTGAGGCGTTCTAAGCTTTCTGGCGCTATTGGTGACGGCAGGGGGGATGATAATAACTGTGGGGGATGGACGTCCCAAAAGCACCATGTGCTTATGAGAGGCGCCGTAGTGAAGAGCTTCAGAAATTTCCACCACATGTGGTTCTTTCATGTGCATCCGTAAATATAAGCACACAGGCCTCAACCATTTTTGCCTCCATCGAAAGTGCGGCCGCCGCGGCTGGGATGCAATCCCGCGACATGCGAGCGGCTCATCAGCCAAGTGTCTTAGTTACAGACGATCGTGGTGGTTGGGCTATAAGGAGGGGGGGGGGGGGGTTCGGATGCTGTAATGTCAACCCCCACCCCCTGCGCCCGAAATCCTGAAGTTCCCATGTTCTGCGACGGATGGAAGATAGATAGATAGATAGATAGATAGATAGATAGATAGATAGATAGATAGATAGATAGATAGATAGATAGATAGATAGATAGATAGATAGATAGATAGATAGACAGACAGACAGACAGATAGACAGACAGACAGACAGACAGATAGATAGATAGATAGATAGATAGATAGATAGATAGATAGATAGATAGATAGATAGATAGATAGATAGATAGATAGATAGATAGATAGATAGATAGATAGATAGATAGATAGATAGATAGATAGATAGATAGATAGTCCGTCTCCATGACAAAAACTTCTGGCTACGCCCTTGATGGGGAACAATGTCGGGATGAACAAACAAAGTCAGAAATAGTACAGAGGAGGGTGCTGTAACCAGAATAGATAACGAAAATAGGGGTGTTTTGTGGCCTAGCTTCAACTGGTGCCCCATATCACCCCTCCCCTTCCAACACACGAAAAAATTTCTTGGCTATGGAACTGCTGGGGAGCATGACGCAGCGTCATCATCATTGTGCACATACTTTTTTTCTGCACAAGCTTCTATTTGCACCGATCGAATGAGGTAACTTAATTGCAAACTTGTGTCAAATCTGAACAATCCCTGGTAGTTATGTGTCATGCGAGACCAGATGTCTCGTGTTCACGCACTGCGCTGTCACCCTTCGCTGGCCCCTCTTGACGCCGGCAGGGTCTGATATAAACCGCACGTCGCCGCCGTCATTCACCCAAGGCGAGTAACGCAACGTCAACCGCAACGATTGCGACTGTTTTGCGTCATGATGCCGCTGAAGGCGTCTTCGGCAAGAACGCCTGTCACAACGGCATGCAGCACAGAAAAGTACGAAGACAACATCAGCGTAATAAACCCACACGTACCAGCAATGCCGGGGATGCAGCGTGGTATCAATTAGTTAAATTAGTTCAATGGGCATGCTTGCACGCGCGACATGCAGGTGCGGGAAAAGCGACGGAATTCGCATTTCCGCATCGAGTGTCCGACAACCATGCCTAGCTCAAGGAAGCAGCCACCAGCAGCTCTGCCACCGTTATCTGGATGTGTGTAACAAAATGAGGACTACCAAAGAAACGACATTTTAGTGTAGCAAAAGGAGTGCGTGCGTATATAATGGCGAAACGAATTTCCGCATTGTTAATTACTAAACGGGCTCCTAAAAGCTATGCGTTTTATTAAAATAGCAAGTTTATGTACGGAAAGGGGCTTCAGATTCAATTGCGCCGTCCTGCTATCAACTGCGCAGGCGCTTGGACGTCGTAGCGTCCACAAGAAGTACAGTCATGCGATTTCGCTGCTTATTCCTTAATACAATGACGTTCCTTGGCAATACAGGGCCATGTTTCCGGTAGTTTATTATCACACGCCTTCTCTAACACAGATACCAATCTTCGATATTCCCGCCCGCAGGAGCGAAAGATAGTGTAACTGCCGTAAAGGTGCAGTATCAAGGGTCAAAGTTGTCAAGTAGTATACCAGATTGTTTACAACTAGCTCATTCGTTGCTTGCTCCATTGCAGCCATGCCTAAGCTCAGGTTTGACATCGTCACTCTAAAGAAAAGTGCATTTCCGTTTGTTTAATGTAAACATTAGGTTGAGTAGATTTCTGTCTGGTTGAGTAGATTTCTTTTTTTTTTCGTTTCGCGCTTTATCTTCAAACGTGTTACTTTTCCGCGCTTTGCGATTAGGGGAAAAGATGCACTAGCTTGCGTCTCGTGGCAGTGGATTGAAAAATACCCGTGTACAGATATCTAGAAAAGATTGCCGGCCGCAGAGGTTTACCATTGGTTATAGTGGGAACGTAGGTCGAAATTGATTAATTAATTTCAAAGAGGAGTGTTTACTGTCCCGAAATTACGGCGTCCTCAGGAGAAACGCCGTAGAGAGCATCGGAAATTTCGACAAAGTGGTATTTTTTACCATGCGCCGTCATCGGACGGTACATGGGTCATGAGACGTTCACCTCCATCGAAATTCAACCACGCGCGGCCGGTATCAAGCCCACCGAGACAGGGGTGCATTCAGAAGTGTTTTCGGTGCATGGGCGTAAGTTGACAAGCCCCCCACTCTTAGAACCACTACCTGGCTTAGCCAGTGTAGTGGTTCTCGAAGAAGGCCATAAGGCGACACGGCGCTGTGCCTTGCCAGTGTGAAGAGATTCCACCCGTTTTTCGTCGTCCGCGTGGCTTTTTGCGCTTTTGAGAGAAGGGAGGGGCGAGGGAAACACCCATCTTGCGAGAAAACCAGTCTGCGAACAGGAGTTCGTGCATGGTAAACAGACCTCGCAAGAAAGCCAACTTGCGGATTTTTTCGCGACGACAGCCTTCTTTCATTCTCTGCGTACGTAGTTCATTGCTGCCAGGTGCACCGTGCAGGAAAGTGAGATAGCTCACTTTAGGGGAAACGACACAGGTGCGGAGGTCGTTAGAGACAAGTATAAATACAGACGATCTTGCCGATCACTAGGCCGAGACACCACTAAATCCCAAGGCACGCTCACACTTGAAATACATGAATAACGACTGCGGCGATAGTGCAACGTTGTTCATTTATTCGAACCGTGAGTCAGCGCTGAACAGGGTTACCAGCTAACCCCCCCCCCCCCCCCTTCACAAAAAAAATAATAACGGTGCGACTTTCGCGAAGATGGCCAAAAGAAGCGGAAGCATTTTACCCAACCTTGAAAATATGTTTGCTTATCATAAAAAAGTATCACTCACATACGATGGGTGGGGAGAGGGGGTCGAAAAGAGGCTTTGATTGTATTGTACAGCGAGAAAATGCGCAGCTATCAGTGGAAGCACATGTTTACTTTTTAACCTTGTCTTCAGTGTTGTCTCCATTCGGTTGAATGCGTATTTGCCAGGGCATGATAAAAGTTACTTGTGGATTCCTCCGATGTGTGTTCGACTTTAACACTCAAACATTAAAGATATCGGCAAAGGCGCTATCGGTGAACGTGATGATTTGTTAAATTGTAACCTTTGCTGGAAAAACACCAAGAACCTCCCCCCCCCCTCACTCTCAATAAAAAAAATTTTAAAAAGTGACAAGCGGCAACGAAATAGTCGAAGCAACTCGGTAAAAATCATAAAACAAAATCCACTGCAAACTCTGGCGCTAAGTATCGACTAGGACGATGCGACAAAAGCCATTACTGGATGTGTGGGCAGCCTATGATTAGAGTCGTGTCAAAGCCGGATGGTTCTCGCATTATAGGTACGTGCCTCGTGACTAAGCTTTCACGTAGCAGCGATGCGCGTGGTCAAGGCGCCCAGCCCAGTATCGCGTGGGAAGCTGCGATGCGCGAGCCGACAAACAACTTCTACTTACCCTTGTTTCACGTTCGCGGTACGCATACATTTCGCAAGAAGACTAAACTCTTTTGCCTAGCGTCATATTGTGAGGTCATCGGTTCATTCGTTTCTGGAATATTGGTCACGTTTCGCGCATGTCGATGATGCCATGAAATGGCTGAAAAGTGTACTGCCTTCGCTGGAGCTTTTTTTTTTCTTTAAAGGGCGCCAAAGAAAGACTCGGACCACGTTGGGACACATTACGTGACTCAAGTTTCTTTCGCCTCAGACGTGATAGCGCGCAGTGCTTCTAGCCCGGAGCTTCGCTATCTCAAGACACGCGTCTCCCTGGCTTCTCTCGAAGAAGCAGCGCGGCGGAGATGGAGCGACTTCACTGGGGTAGTGGTTACAATGAAGAGGAAAAAGGCACCTAATTTCTGTCTGCCTTCAGGCGACACGGCGCAGTGCCTTATAGGGGTGGGGGGAAGGAGGGATAAAAAGAATAGAAGGAAAGTAGAAGCAGAAGAAGACAGCCAACGAGAGGAAAAAAGAAGGAGATAGGAAAGTGGGGATCCGGTCGAAGCAGTCCAAGGGCGGGGTGCCACAATGCGAGAGCTACACGGCGTCAGGAGACCGCGGAGGGCGAACCAGTCGGCGGGAGCTACGCTGAAGTCGGAGATCGCGAGGGCACAACCGTCCAGCTTGAAATCCTGCGAGCGAATCCCCGACTTCACTGGCCTTTCAAGAACTCTACAGCACGCGGCGGCATGCAAGGGGAAACTACTGGAAGAGAAAGGGGAGCGTTCGTATTCGTTCTAAAAAAAAACAAAAAAACAGAGGGGTGCATTTGATACACGGGGGGAAAGGGGGACCACGTGCATGACGTCGTGAGTGGGGCCCCGCAGCAGGATGGCCACTCTCGTGATGAGCCGTGATTGGCTGTAAGTTGAAGCCTGGAGAGAGGAACTTGTTACGCCAGTTCCGCCGTCTGCGGGGGCTTCCTTGCTCGCGCTCCTTTTTCCCGCCAGCCGCAGTCGAAGGGGCCGCTGCGCTCCGGCAACAAGTGTCAGTTGCGCTAGAAGTTGGCGAACGCTTTGCAAGCGTGCTTCACCAGCCGCTGCTTTTATTTTCTTTGTTTTTTCTCGTGAGTGCGTGGCAGCCGGAGGAGGCGCGGCGAAGCGGCTGCAGCCATGGATCAGCTCTTCGGGAACCTGAAGGGTTTCTTCAAGACCGACTTCACGGTCATCGACAACAATGTGTTTCGGCTGCACTACAAGGCGACGGTGTGCATTCTCATCGCCTTCAGCATCTTGGTCACGGGCAGGCAGTACATCGGTGACCCCATCGACTGCATCAGCAAAGACGCGGTGCCGCCTAACCTGCTGGACACCTTTTGCTGGATACACACCACCTTTTCGCTCACTGACGCCTGGCACAAGAAAGTGGGCGTCCAAGTGCCTTACCCCGGCGTGGACAAGTACACGCCGGGCGAGAAGCGCGTCTACCATGCCTACTACCAGTGGGTCTGCTTCGTACTCTTCCTGCAGGCCGTGCTCTTCTACGTGCCTCGCTACTTTTGGAAGGCTGTCGAAGGCGGCCGCGTCAAGAACCTCATCCTGGGCCTCAACAACCCGATCCTACCCGAGGAAGCCAAAGAAAACAGTCGCAAGTTGCTTGTCGAGTACCTGACCATCAACCTGAACAACCACAACATATTCTTCTACGGATACGTGGTGGCCGAGGTGTGCAACTTCGTCAACGTCGTCGGCCAGATGTTCCTCATGGACATGTTCCTCGGCGGTGAGTTCTCCAGCTACGGTTCCAAGGTGCTGCAGTTCACCGAGTGGGACTGGTCCGTGCGCTTCGACCCCATGATCAAGGTGTTCCCCAGGCTAACCAAGTGCACATTCCACATGTACGGTTCCTCGGGCGACGTGCAGAAGCACGATGCCATGTGCATCCTGCCCATCAACATCATCAACGAGAAGATCTACGTGTTCCTCTGGTTCTGGTTCATCATCCTCGCCGTGCTCTCCGGTGTGGTGCTCATTTACAGGGCCTTCGTCATCTTCCTCCCGCAGATCCGCTTCATGGTCCTCCGACGCCGCGCCAAGCTCGCCAACAAGGACTACGTGGAGCGCGTCTGCGACCGCTGCAAGCTCGGCGACTGGCTCATTCTCGACCTGCTCTGCAAGAACATGGATCCCGTCAACTTCCGAGATCTCATCAACGACTACGTGCGACGCCTCGACCACAAGAGCATCGACAACGCGTAAACGCTCGACTACGGCCGCTGTCTCTCTCGTGTGCGTTCCTTTTCTCGAATACCGACGACTGAACGACGCCGCGTCTTGCGGTTTCGGGCACGATGATTTGTAGCCGACCTTGACCACTGGCAAGTCCGTACCTATTCATTCTTTTTTTTTTTTTTTCGTGAACTCGGCAGCTCGAGCTCTCTGTCGGTATGAACGCGCTCCTTCGAGGGAGACAAAAGACAAGATGGCGTTTTGCCATCTGGAGCCAGTAATCTAGCCGAACTACTTTTGACATGAGCTGCCTTTCACAGCGTGCCTTCAGGCAAGGCATTTGAAGTGCCAAGATGATGATGATGGAGGGAGCAATATCAGAGCTGCCTATGCTGCCACTGTTGTATTTTTTTGTACGTGAGTTGTTACTTCGTGTAATCACTGTCACGGTAGCTGTGAGCCTAGGAACAAATTTACATCACACGCAATTAAAAACTAGAACAAGATAGGGACAGTCTGCTGTGTTTGTATGCTGTTCGTGCATTTTGTCATAATCTTTTTTTTTTCTGTCATTGTTCTGTCATCAAGAATCTCTATGCGACGTCGTTTACGACTGCTGCTTGAAGTACAAGCATCTTGTTTGTCTATTTTCTTTTTTTAAGCGTAAGTGTTGCAATCTATACTCTCCGCGATGAGGGAAAGCAATATTTTCGTTTTTTTTTTTTTCATGTTACTCAGTGCCTTTTGGGAACAACAAGAATCCGAAGTCTTCCATATGTTTATTGTGCATTTTCTTGCAGCTTGGTCTCTTATTTAACGTTGCACAGAGACTTCGTTTGCAAGTATTTCCTCCCTCCCCCCCTTTTTTTTTATTTCTGTCCTTTAGAGTCGCCTTTTTTTCCCCCATAACATGATGATTTGTTGTTGGAGATGGTGTCTTGTTTCTTGCATTTCGTCAGTTTATTTTTGTACATGTTTACACTGGCGTGCGTTATACAATGCCAGATAGTTCTGTCTCGCTCTCCGGCTGCACGGAGAACAAGAAAAGTGCCTTGCCAAACATTTCTTAAATACTATTTTTGTACGGTACTGCACTTTCTAGTTGCGCGAAGCATAACTTGTTAAGCGAGGAGGATTATGTACTGCCAGGGCGTCGTTCAAATGCTTTATTTTTGTACTGTACATCAAGGTCTGTAAGATAGCGATCGGTTAAAAAAAATTTGTGTGTGAGTGCGTGTATACGTGGAAGTGTCACAAAAAACAAATGTCTGGCTGATCATGGTGCGATGAATAAATGTTATACGACGTTTCTGAGCTGTGTGCTTCGGTCGTTTCTTGACGTATCAGTTCATGTTTTCTCGAAGGGACATATGTTATTACAGCGCATGCGCGGGGAGTCAGGCCTTCTCTTTAATTCTTGTAGTTCCCGGCGCTGTTTTTTTGAGAAGTCTTAAATGTGTGCCAATGGACAATGACCCTTCTGGTGCACGCGTGAGTGGAAGGCTGAGCTGCTAGGTTAACGTGGTGTAGATTCTCATGTTCTGTTTACGCATGCAGTGCTGTCATATCAGTGGATGTCGGCGTCCCGCTGCCGCGAGCAAAGTCGCAGGTCTGCGAAGAGGCATACCTGCGATGCATTTCTTTAAGCTTTGCACGTGACACGTCCACCGGCGATAGAAATTAGTGCAGAACCTTTTAACTACAGCACAGGTACTTTATATTTATTCATTGTTCCTGAACAGCATTTTTGAAGTGTCGCCTTAGAATAGATGTGGTGGCTACGCTACCTAAAGCGCGTGATTATTTTAACCGTTCTTCTTGCTCTTTGGCCATTCCTTGGCCCTTGCACCACAAAACTCCACTAATCATTTGTACCTTTCTGTCGCGTTTATGAACAGGCCGTGGGGTCCGTGGTTCACATTGTCTAAAATATCGACGTGCGAAATATTTACTGCTAAACGAAACAGCAGCGACTTTTCTGTTGTGCGAATCCCGTGACTTGACAGCAAACACTCCGTTAACCATATTTTCCTTTATTATCTTCAGTAGTCGGGCAGAATAAGTGTGGCGTTACGTACGAGCTAACAAAACATGCCCGTCTACTCAGCGTTTGCACGCGCTACGCCAGTTGAGTAATGAGCATCAAAAACTCTTAATATGCAATAAAGCCCCTTGATCGACTTATCACCATCAACGTCACCTGGCGGCATGCGCGATTTCAGGCCTACCGCTAGGCGCATGAGCAAGGTCTCTGGAACGTGCAGAAGGGGTTAGTACCCACCGCTTAGCTCTTTTATATGCACGTTGTTCCTTCTTCTGTTGTAATACCTCCGGCCACTGTGTTCCACGAGTGCTGCGTCCCATCGTAATCGCATGCATTTCTGGTAGCGGTCAGCAATGGATCGCGTAGTACAGGCCGCCCTGTTCCTGGCTTCTTCCGCCCACAGTCGCTACCGGCAATTTTAATCTTAGCAAACGCTAACTTTTGTCCAGTCTAAGTAACTTTGCCAACCCCTTCGCACTGTCGCTTTATACTTATCGTGTAAAAATTTGGGCTTAATCTTCATGGAAGTTAGGGTGGATTCCTGTTTGAATCCTGTGCATATCTGACGCGCATTTTTTTTCCAAAGGTTGGTGGGCGTCACATCTTTGCCGGCATGTCTGTCCGTGGTTTAGCGAATTGCCTTCGTATTTTTTTTGCATCACATTTCAAGGCAATGCACAGCATACAATTACGTATGCCCGTGGTGTGGATGGAAGCACACCGACGCTCTATCACATCACACGCCGAAGAGCAGGAATGGAATGACAGCAGAGAAAAGTCGGAGGCAATGCTGTCCGGCCCGGTCGTTGAGTACCAGCTGAAGAGGAGGGCTGAAACGATGGTCAGAGGCAGCGGTGCCTTGGAATTGGGGCCTGACCACGTGTCGTTGCGCTGTTTTAGCTGCAACGAAGTCTTTTCCACGAATAAAGTTTCGTTCTTCTTCAAACGGATGCAAAAACAGACCACAAAAGTTTAAACGTCTTCTCAGCGAGGCATAATTTACCACTGAACCAATGACAGCCACAACACGCCGGCTCAGACCTGGTGGTGTAGAATGTTTTTCTGGGTCACGTCCAGCAAGAGGCAAAAACCAGCGGAGCCCTGGACTAGAGGCCCCATAACTTCTGACCACACAATGCAATGAGATTTTTTTTTTTCGCGTGATGGAATTTGATTGTTCACATAGGGTAGTAACGTTGCGAGTGCTCGACGAATCAGTGCCTATAAGCAAGTGTAGCTGTCATTAGAAGTTTCTGTTATACTTCACTGTTTGTAAAGAAAATCAAGCGGTGGTTTCAAATGCAAAATACAAAATGCACAAAAGCACCTCTTGCTTTCGTGAACGCCAGAAGACTATCATTTTGTGGTTATATCAGGTCCCTAGTGAGGTTTTGGTTTCGAATATTACTGTAGACCTTGACTACTTTAGGAAAACGCCCATTTTCATAGCTTATTTTCGGTAAAACACACCCCTCCAGTAGAATTTCTTTGGGAGCGAAGCTTGGGTACCACTCCCTCCACAGGCAGTGGGCCTGGTAGGTGCCCATTGGAAACAGACTTTCCCTGGATTGCGTGTTTCTTTGCGACTGGCAGTCGAGTACTCATTTATAGTTTGTATTTAGCACTAGAAGTTCCGAACGTTGTTGGCACAAGTGCCGTCGTACTATCAAAGCCTTGAGGTGCGCACGTTGTCATCGCGCAGTTAGTACCGTCTAGGTAGCGGTTATTGAGCTGTTCGGAAGCGGAACTATCAGACATTTATCGGCGTTCAATTCTTTCGTCAGATGTAGACAGAATGCCACACGCTCGTGTCTGCCTCAAATGCAGAGCGTGCGTTGTTTGCAACTGGGTTAAGCGAAGTGACTTGGATGCCTGTGGGTTACTGTGAAAATCGGGAACACCTAGCCAACCTTCTTTTACCTAATAATAATTATTATTGGGGCTTTATGTGCCAAAATCATAACAAGATCATGGGGCATATACCGTGTTGGAGGGCTTCGGAAGTTCACACTTTTCGGAAAGCCAATTTAATTACGTACTTTTCCAGTCAGTGATTTAACGCTCCAGGAACATCCAAGTCGTTCGCACAACTCATCCTGCACACTTAAACACTCTTCCTGCTGTGGTATCGTTTCTTCTGAGAAAAAAAAAACTGCACGAAGCAGACATGAACTGTGTTGTTTGCAGAAGTGTGTACTTTTTTCCTTAAAGGATGTGCCTTCACTGCATGCCCACAGAGAACACTTGAATAAGTTACCTTCACGCCGACATCGTCTCTCCGTCGCCGGCTGCTGCCCTTTGGTTTACTTCCTTGTTTATTCCACGTCAGTCTCATTATACGCGGCTCTAATTCGGGCAAGTCTTCCGCTCTTTCTGCATGCTTTTTTTTTAGTGCAGAGTATTTTAGAGTCCTGTGCGGTCGTATGCTGTCGGCGTTGCTTGGCGCAAAACAGGTAAAATGACGTACAGGATAGACATGTGTGAAATATTGAGAGTCCGCTCGCGTCCTGATTAAGTCTTCCTCTTGTTCTTCGGGTGCCTTGATGATGATATGAAGTGCGGATGGCTTCAGGAGCCCGGGCTTTCGTATAGTGTCGTCCCTTGACATAACGCTGGCAGAACCATGTATACAATTAAATATATATATAGAAGGAAGCGAGAAATAAAAAAGGAAGAAGTAAAGGTAAAAATATAGAAAAAAAGAAATAATAGAAATGAAGAAAGAGAATCTGAAAAAGAGAAAGCCGAACAGAAACAAAGGAAGCTTCCCAGCTCCGTTCCTCTTTCAAGCATTGCAAGATTATAGTGCGAACCCACCTGAATTTTCTTTTGTCCGTTCCTTAGAAAGAGTCCTTGCCCACCTTGTCTCCGTGTACGAACACTGATTTCGTGAAGCTCGAGCAAGAGATAATTTAGAAACGTGCTTTCCTGCGTTCATCTCGGTATTTCCGGTGATATGGAGATATTCGATTTTTGTTTTCCCCCTCTGCCGGATAAGATCGTGAGTCCCGGTTTGGTCATTTAATGGCGGCAATGTCACTGCTCTAACGAGCGCGTAGTGTCTTGTTCTGATCAGGCCGCCTTGCAAGAAAATGTTCGTGTTGATAGCCCCGTGCATTGGCTGCATCGTATAATATACCCTGTCGGGATTTAACGTTTAAACTATTCCTCACTTTGAGATATTACAGCATGCGATTGGAACACGGGGTCGTTAAGAAGAATGAGAAAATGAGCTGCTAAGATGAATTATGCGAGCTTTTGGCAAACTATATCCGATGCATTCAGAAGAAGGTAAACTGAGACCCATCTATCCCGTCTAGCCTTCACGTTCGTAATGCACATAACGACCATGTATCACAATGAAATCTGAAATTCTATATACGTTAGTGCCTTGGTTTTTTTTTTCCTATCGCGCAGCTTTCGCAATTATATATAACTGACACATCGTGCAAATAAAATCGATGTTTTACGTGCCGAAACCATGATGTAATTATGAGGCATGCCTCAAGGGCTCCGCTAATTTCGAACATTTGATGTTCATTCACGAGCATCGCACAAGAAAGGGCCTCTGGCATTTATTCTCCATCAAAATGCGACAGCCGCAGCTGGGATCGAACCAGCGACCGTCGGGCCACCCATTGTATAAACATGTCGTTCGTCGTACGTAGCTTTGCTAAATATATATTTTGGCTGTTAGAGCGGGCATGCACGTGGCGCATACGCACCTGCATCAACAGCAGTCTTTCATAACGAGCTTGAGAAGAACAAGGTGATTATTCAAGGAATAAGGCACCCGTCTTGGTGGTCTACTGCTTATGGCACCCGACGGCATGTTGACCCGCAGGTCGCGGGATCGAATCCCGCCTGCAGCGGCTGCATTTTGGGTGGATGTGAGAACGCTTCATGGTCGTGTATACGGATTTGGGTTCATGTTAAAGAAACCTAGGAGGTCGGAATTTCCAGAGCCCCCCATTAAACGGCATCTCTCATAATCCCGTCGTGATTTTTATATTTTGAAGGAATACCGTCACCTATACCCACTCAGGGGTATTGAACGACGATAACGTGATAAAAATATGACATGAAAAATCTCAGTTTGCACCGAGACTGTTGACATCAATTGCAGTCCAGACTCGAGGCCATTTACCGAGATCGTCTCAAGTCGATGCTTTAGGCTCGGTTACACGTTTGATATTCCATTGGTTGAAACGATGACCTAATTAGTCACACTGATCTCGCAGCATTAGTGTGACGAGGCCTGGTTCCGTCA